TTCACTATTTTTACTTTAAAAAGTTTGGCACCTCTGGAGGAAAATGCTACAAGAACTGGGGGAAAAAATGGGAAGTGTGTTTTGTAAGATTTCAAATGTGTGTTAAAAGGGACACGAGTTTAGGCTGTGCCCTGAGTTGAACCTCACATAATTCCAGACTCCAGTCAAGCCTGGAATGGAGTTTGGACTGTGCCTGGTTATCTCAGAGCTGCCTCTGATGTGTTGGCCAAAATGTTCACTGAAGCACAGAGATTTATGCACTGCTTGTACCTGTATTTATTAACCACTGATGTACCTTCCTATCTCTTCTGGTTCAAAAGCAAAACTTTGTGGAAAAAAAACAAAATATGTGCTTTAGAACCCAAACCTGACAAGGTAAGGAAACACCCACAACTTCTGCAGCCCATTTGTTTCCCCACCAAGAGAAGGTGTCAGCAGTTTGCTGTAGAACAGCCTCCAGCAGGTCCCTGTTCTGGACTTCAGCCTTACTCCATCCTTTCCATTATTTTTTCCAATCTTAATAATTTCCCAGAAAAAGTAAACCTGCATCTCTAGCACAGAGTCTGAAAATCAATTCTAGGTATTAGAAGAGTAATACAGGCACAAAGACACAGATGTTTTGGAGGAAGATCTGCAACATCAATGTTTGCTGCCTGTATTACCAGGGAGAACCTGCAGCTCCTCATAATCCTGGGAGTTTGACATAATTCACCTCAAAAATCTTCCTTCCTGACCTTCTTCATCCCAAAACTTATCTTTCATTCATTATAAAGCACCCAAGTGCTTTACCAAGAGTCTTAAAGTGCTCTGCAATTGGAATAAAAAAACCTCAGAAAGTAATTCTTGCCTACTCTATGCCAGGTATAAAACTAAGCCTTGTGGAATACACACTAAGTTAATAAGCAACAGCTTCTGGGAACTCTGTGTATATTTTTAAGCTGCTGAGTACTTACAGATACAGTAACAGATGACAAGAAATCATTCAATTCCTCTTCCCAATTCAGGGAAAACAGGAACTACTGTGACTGGGCTTTGGTCACTTACTGACTGCAACTAATGAACTTTCATTTATTAAATTATAGAAATGCAGATACACTGTATCCAAACCAGAAACTTTTAGACAGGAAAATGCAACAGAAGTGAACAAAGCTCACTTCTGTTCCCAAATGTGCTTCTATTAAAAAAAGAAGTGATTTACACCAATTTGCCTGGCTGAACTTCATAAAAAACTTCTAAGAACTAAGGCCATGCTGGTTTAAGTTTCTCTTTGAAATGTTACTTTAACCCAGCAAACAAAAACTCAACTAAACCAAAGTATATCTAATCTGTTAAGATAGCCCTGGTTACAAGTTTAGAGTGCACCCTCCAACTAAGTCCAACTTTTATAGCAGCATGATAATCCATTTGAAGACGGGCAAACCGGAGAGCCATGTGAGGACAGCATCTGGATGGTTTTCAGTTCATTAGTTCTGAGAAACAAACTCTGTAGCTCAGAAACCCTCACCCACTACAGCTCTGAGAGCTGTGCCCACCACAGCTCTGTGAGCACATTTAAGGCACACATCCCAAACCTGTGACCCCAACTGCATCCCAGAGAGTTCCTGTTCACTGTACAGCATCTCTTCCACCACCTCTGCTTAGGCAGACAGGGAAGAAAGTCTTCCTAACAACAGGTAGTTAAGAAAGTCATGTCTGCACAGTCTCTGAGCAAACAAACTACAGTATCTGCTACACCTGCAGAAAGTGGAATTTGTTGGCTACCAGACACAAGGAAGGGTAATTGCTCATCCAGCACTCTGCCCTGTCACACCGATCCCAAGAGACACCTCAGGCACAAGGTTATTTATCACCCGAGGGACAGTTTAATTCAGGTTACTCCATATTTACTGCAAGGTGTCAATGCAAACCTGCAGTTTCTCCCTATTACTTCAAGTCAAATAAACCAGCATCTGTTCCAAAAGCTTTAACTCAGAAAGCCATGAGGCAGATGGATAGTCTATATAATGAACAGTCAAACCCTACAAACAGCCTCAGGAGCCAGAATAAAAAGTGATAATATAAACCATTATTGCACTGTCTTTGGGTTACACTAACCAACACAGGTTATCTTTAATGGGTTCAAAACTGCTGAAAATACCAAGTAGTTTCAGAAATGGTTCAATGCTACTTATTCTCAGGGAACTCCTGCAATGTAAAGAGGGAAACATATTCCCCCACGTCCCCCAAACTGCAATATCAATCTAACAATTCCTGTAACAGAGTCATCTCTGTGTCAGACCCATCCACAGCTACTTCAAATTACCAAAGCTGTTACAGCATTAAATACAACTATATTGTAGTGGAAGACCTGAATAAATTTGTTCAAAATTAGTTATCAACACAGGTGAGAAACCTATCACCTGGCTGTTTATGCCACTTGGTTGAAAGATATTTGCCTGGACACACAAATGTCACTGGCACTTTGCCTAGAATTCCATAGCCAGATATGTATCCCAGCATGGAGTGCTCTGTCACTTCCCTACATGGTCATCTTTTTGCAAACACCGTGTCAAAGGCCATCAGAGTCCTCCTGCTCTTGAGGCACAGGCCTGCACAGAGTCTCCCTCACCTCCAGGTCCTGACACCAACACTGCTACACCATGTGTTGCTCTTCTCTACTTGCTCAGGAGCTTTTCCGAGTTTGATTACAATTAAAACTTCATCATTGCCCAGCTACTGGCATTTATTATTTCAGTATCACAATCTGTATCACACTGAAGCACTTATTTCTCTATTGAACATCCACATGACTTACAATCAACTGCAGCTGCAAGTGAAGGTAATTTAAGTGTATTTGCCATTATAAGAAAAATATCATGAGTACTTCAGACCAGCTTGGGATTGTTTGATCCACCAGTTAAAGTAAGTATTTTACCCACAAAAGATTCTTCAGTCCATCAACAAGCCAGACCACCCATCTTAAAGGACAGTCATAAAGCTTGGATAATTTTTGTTTTTCTACATGAACCTGTCCTTTCTTTAAGAAAAAATAAATTAGTTCTACACATGTTGGACTATCAGACATTGTTTTACAAGCTGATTTTAAAATAATGCAATAGTAACCCTATGAAAAAAGGATACTGTGTTTGTTAAAGACAGCCTGGTGCTATAGGTATTCTAGTCAGGGGTTATTCCCAAATCATTTCCCTCCTTCAGACACAGCCCTTTTATAGACAGTAATTGATTTTATGGATACTGACAATATAGAGCAGGTAAGTAAAAGCCCACACATCCCCCAGGTGTTCACATACAGAACAAAGGCAGAGCTAAATTTGTAAGATGAAAATGCAATTTGTACCTCTTCTGAAATAGCAAAGAATCAAGGAGAAAGTGTTCTGTGCTCTTGACACCCAGCAGAGCAGCAAAATCCAGAGTTTCTCCTCAGTGAGGTCCCCCAAACCAGTGCAAAATGCACAGTTATCAACTTGCAATTCTACCAATACGTCTAAAACACCAAAACCCCCAAATGCATTCCTATGATATTGACTCCTTCCAAAACTCCCGTTCCATCAGTGACATTTAGAAACAGGATAAGGATTTGGAGCAGACATCTCCTGCAGAATCTGTAATTTATACAGCTCTGTTTGCCTCCAAAGGACACGGCAAACGTCAGCCTGAAACCAAAGCTCCTTGCAGAGCTCACAGCTTTGACTGTGCAGAGCAGGAACAGCGAGTCAAAGAGCACAGCCAGTGACAAGGTATCACAATTCCCCCCTAATTTCCGCTATCAGCACTCGGGATTTGTACTTGGAGCTGAATCATCCTGTGCACAAAACGGAGGCTCGAGACAGGGCTCAGCGACTGCTAAAGTTTCTCAAGGAATGAAAGCTGGGCTGGCAGCCAACACCAACTTCATTTTGAGTGCACACTCTCCCTGCCTGCTAATTAAAACAGGAGGATAGGCAAGTTTAAGGGTATATATTTATCTCCTCTTGAGACAGCTACCACCTCTAAAATCAAAGTGACACTTGTGAAAAGCACATCTGATGTACACCCTGAATTGTTCCCAAAGGAACAATCACTCAGCTAACAGTTGATAACGACCTACAAAATATGAGGGTGCAATCACTCCTGACACTTAGCAAGAACCACCTACATTTAGCTGGGAAGGAATAGGAAACACTTAAGCCATCAATAAGACCAGTCTAGAGAAAGAATTATTGCTATGGCATTATCACCAAAATGACAGTTTTAGCTAAAAGTCTATGACACTTATATTTTTGCACTCCTTCCAAACAAAGATACACCTTTTAGAGCAAATCTAGGATATTTGAAAGCTCAAGGCAAAAGTCCAGTCTTAAGATTGTCCCTTCAAATGCTTACACAGGAGAAACAGGAAGCTCTACTCTAAATAGTTTATCTGTTTGAGATCTCCTACACAGCAATAGGCAAAAGAAGCAATAAAGAATGAAGAAAGATGAGAAAACAGCAGTCACATGCCAGTCACACCAGCTGAGAGGACAGAAGACATTTGTGAAGAGAGGTTCAAAGGCTCTGCTACTGCAAGTGTAAGAGTTGGGAAAACACATTCAGATGAAAACTCAGAGCATGACTAAAAAAAAAATCTCAGCACTCCCAAACCCAAGGAAACACATTTAAAAGCAATGAAGAAGGTATTCTGTGATAGAAAACCAGAGGAATTGTAGGACACACTGAAACCAGACATTAGAAAACAACAGTTTAAAGTTGTGACAAGTGTTAAAACCAGCACTCCAATTAAGATGCTTTGCTTTTAGACCTACCAATTAAACTAAATGGCAATTTGAAAAACAATCCCCCCAGTGCAAATGCACATTTAAGGTAATTACAGACAAACCAAAACAAGATTGTTCATAAGTGAAGTATATACTTAGGAGCCTCTGAAAACTCCCCCCAGGGCCTCAAATCAGTAAGACAAAGCCCCCACAAGAATTTTACATTAATATTCTGACACATGTATGTGCTACATAAATGGGTCTTACCTGCCACTTCCACAATATCCCCTGGGACAATGTCTCTGGCTTTAATCCTCTGGACACTTTTTCGGTCTTGTCGATACACTTTGCCCATTTCTGGTTCATACTCTTTAAGAGCTTCAATAGCATTTTCGGCATTTCTTTCCTAAAAGACAGCAAAATTGTGTCATTTCAAAAGCCCTCAAGGAAAAATAAGTAGGTCAGATCTGATTTTTCAAAAGCATTATCATATGAATACTACCAACTCAGCTCAGCTACATTCTTTCATACACAACATTTTGTGACCCCCTTCCCCTTGTGAGGTTGCTGACTGGAAATCTTTACAGCCTAATTCAGATGTTTGTGGGCATTTAGAACCTAGAAATTGTTTATTTAAACCTTGCAGCATTTTCCATCAAAATTATCCCATGTTGTTGCAGGGAAGCCACACAAAGAGTTCAATGTTACATCCACATGTAACATACTTTTTGACATAAAAAGGCCCTAAACAGAATTAAGACTCATGGATAGAAGTCTTGGCTGTTCCTTACCAGCTTGAGCAGCTTAGACTCAGACTGGAGTAGACAAGCACTACTGAATTTCACTTACTGGCAGAAATCAAGGATCAAGTTAAGACAAACCTCAAACAACATAAAATCAACTTTATTTCAGCAAATCAAATGACTCTAAAGTGAAATTAAAGCAGACAGACTAGAAACTTCCCCAGAATCTCTTAATTTACAAACTTGGATGAATCTCCACATATGACAACCTTTTTTATTTCCACTAACATAAAGGCTTTCCTGTCTCAACTGCAGTTCTCTCACTAAGCACTACCAGAGATTGGGATCAATATTGTGATGTTACCTGGATAAAGGAGAACATAAGAACCAGCAGCTTATCAGTGCTCCTTCTCCAGCTCTTGGAGAAGGAACTTATTTTCCATTTCCCTATTGACAAGTCCAAACGTCATTTAGGTCTGATAATTATAGATAATGGTAGAGTGCACATAGTTTTTACACTGTCTGCCCTTCAAATATACATCAGCTTTTCCAGATAATAAAAAATTCCTCCTGCATGTCAAAGCAGAAACAAAATCATCAGAAATTCAAGGGTTGAAGGACTTGGTACTTCCACGTGACAATGCAGCTGAAAATGAGCATTTACAAAACTACCTTGAGGAACTAGAATTTATATGGCACAGCTCAGGGCCAGGCAGTGCAGATACCAGCACAGACCCATAAAGCTGTAATTAATACCAGTCTCATATTCCACCAGGTCAATTAATTCTGCTCCTCAACAAAATAATGCTGATACTGCTTTTCTGTGAATCAATTAGGAGCCAACATCAGACAAAACCTTAAAGTGGAAAATAAAGTCTCACAAATGGAAGGTTACTTCAACACAAATCTTCCTTCAAAAAGGAGAAATAAAAAACAATTTAACATGACCCAGGTGGCCAAGAAGGCCAAGGGCATCCTGGCCTGTAATAGTGTGGCCAGCAGGACCAGGGCAGGGACCACACCCCTGTGCTGGGCACTGCTGAGACACCCCCAATCCTGGGGTCAGTTTTGAGCCCCTCACAAGAAGAAAGACATTGAGGGGCTGGAGCATGTCCAGAGAAGGGAATGGAACTGGGAAATGGTCTGGAGCACCAGGAGCAGCTGAGGGGGCTCAGCCTGGAGAAAAGGAGGCTCAGGGAGACCTTGTCCCTCCCTAGAACAAGTGACAGGACAAGAGGAAACGTCCTCAAATTGCACCAGGGGAGGCTTAGATTGGCTACGGGGAACAATTTCTTCACCAAACAGGTTGTCAAACATCAGAAAAGGCTGCTCAGGGAAGGGGCTGAGTCACCATATCTGCAGGTATTCAAAAGGCACACACGTGGCCCCTGGGGACACGGTTTAGTGGTGACCTTGGCAGCACTGGGCTAACGGTTGGACTTGATGATCCAAAAGATCTTTTCCAGCTTCAAGGACCCTATGATTCAGCTGGTTCAGCCAGCTCAGTGTGCTACACTCAATCTCTCTGCTCCCAGTTTGCCTGGAGTTGTGGCAGTCAGACCATCCTGCCAGGCACTGAAGCACTCACAGATGGCTCTCTGGGGAAAGTGCACGTGAGAGGAAAGGTTGAGGGCAATGACTCAGTTGCTCACATCCAGTACCTGTAGGAACACATACGTTTATGGGTGGAGACTACGCACTGTGACTGATTTTCCATGCCCATTAAAACAAGGGAATGAGTCATTTAATCTGTGCAGCAACTCTTGTTTCACAATATATTTCACTGCACATAGAAATATAGAGAGAGGTATTCTTGGCACACTATCTTGTCTGAAAAAATTGATTATTTCCTACAACAGGGCATACAACTACACAAGAAAATCCCTAAGCTGTACAGAGAGCTTTATCTTCCATTTCATACTTAAAATCGGCAGCTGCAGAGTTGTAGCTCAGAGTTTCAAGTTAAACATTAACTCTTGCACAACTACTTTATGAAGACTTGAATATAAAATGACACTTAAGGGGGCAATGCTGTCACCCCTGGATCAACACAACCTCTTCCCTTCACACCAGTTCCAGCAGTTGTGCAGCAAGCTGGGAACTGCTAAAAACTGATTTTTTGTGGAATAGTCTTCAGCCAACTCACTTGGGCCAGCACAAAGCAGAGCACTTCTTCCAGCACGCAGGGTTCTCTCTAACATGTTTTAACCATTAACAGGACTTTTCCTCTTAATTTTTATTGTTATTTTGGAGAGTTTGCCTTTTTTTCTAAAACATGAAACCTAATGTACTAAGAGAGCCAGTAATAATGTCACATTAGCACCACCCCTTAAAAAAAAAAAAAACAAAAAAACAACAAACCCCCAAAACAACCAACTGTACAAATAACTTGAATGACCCTAAAAATCCTTGAGTATTTTTGATCTGCAGAAAAACAATTCTAATAAAACATGCCTTGTCTGAAGTGATCAAATTATTAAGCTAAAGTGATATGAACCACTTTACTTTGGCATCTTGAGAAGTGTTATTGCCATCTCAAGAACAGTTACTGTTATTACTGTCTGCATGATTTATAAAAAGCCATCTAAGTCATCTCACAGTTGATAATGTAGGAAAAATTTCATGGTATTTAGATGTTTTCAGAAGAAACTTCTGCCTTTTGACAGACACGCAGTCTTTGGACGTACACTTAATAGGTACCATAGTAATTGAACTGGGAGAATTAATAGTGCATTAATAATGTACTAAAACACAGCAGTTGTCTCAAGAGAAAACAGACAAGAAATGAGATTAAAAGTGCATCCTTTGTTCCTCAGTTGGGAAAAAACCCCCAAACGAGCCGATCCAATTGTTCTTAGCTCTGCAAGATGTGATTTGTTTCCTGAATTCAGGCCTTCATTCTGGCCTGTCTAGTTCGTGTGTTCACCAGTGTGTGGCCAAACACACTGATGGGCACTTTGCCTTTTTGGCAACACTTCTGAAGCTTTCATTTTACCTTTAAGTCAACACTTTGTGTCGAGAAGCTTTATGGTTTGCTGACTCTCAGGAATCTAAAGTTAGCAACACATCCTACTTGCTTTGTATGAAGCACCCAACACTACAGCGTGCACTGCTTCCTCTCAAACCATAAAACCCCAAATCATTTGTGATTTGATGTTGTAAAAATCTCTGCATACCTGCCACACTCCCACAATGGCATTGGCTACTAAAATAAGTAAGATTACAAAAGGCTCTACAAATGCTGTGATTGTTTCTTCACCTTCTTCAAACCAGGCCAGGACCTGTAAGAGGAACACAATGACTTAAATTACTGATTTACACAGACACCTTGCAAACTTTACCCCTGCAAAGTTCCAGCCTGAGAGATTCAACTGCTCGGACTTAAGCAATCTTAGAAGTTTCAACCTACCCAGTTGTAGTTTTGTAATTAATTAATGAGTTGGCAATATGCAATGGAAAAGAAAAAAAGAATCTCTACTAAAGTAGTACAAAGTTCATTTTAAAGGCCACTCTTCTTTTAAAGGAGTAAACTATTTACTTGGGAAACAATTGCTACTGTTGCTTCAGAAATGAAAGCAGAAGTTGTGACAACAGTTATGACCATGAGAAAAGAAAAAAATCCCTTACTGTATAAAACAGAATGCAGACAGATTAGTTTGACTACTTAAAACACAAACCTTGCCTGAATCTGAATTTTAGCCAAGTTTAATTGCCCTTTACTAGCAACTTAGACAAAAAAATTAATATGGTTTTACAAGTTTTTGTTGAGTAGACATGAAAAATAAGTACCTACTTATTTAAATATAAGCAGTGTCTTACTGAAGCATCTAAGTGAATTCACTGAAGCTGAATTCTAAGCTGAGTAGCTGATAAAACTCAATTTTTAAAGGTGAATCGACTAGAGGACTTGCATAAAAGGCTCCACATAAATTCTGTTTTCATTCATCTGCTTTACAAGTGCACTCTAGTTTTAGGCTTCTGTCATTCACTTGACTTGACTGTGTCAGGGCCTCTGCAGAGCTCTGCAGCTCCCGAGGAAGAGTCAAGCCAACATGACCAGAGAGGAAGGGCTTTTTCATCAACATGTTGAGCAACAGGAAGCCTGGAAAGTGACAGTAAATAGGAACAACGTGTTGAGATAATTAGGGCTGGTAGTCAGGCAACAGCACAGTGAATCACCGAGGGCTGCAGAGAGCAAACTGTTACTAAAGCAGCGCCATAATTCCCCCAACATGCTGCTCCGAGCTATTGCTCAACTGAGACACACTCCAGGATGGGGAAAGGAAGGAGCAGCAGCATGAAAGGCTCCAGCAGAAAACAGACTGTCAAGCAAATCCAATGCTACAACAAATTTTTATTACGAAAGGGTAAATTTGTAAGATCCAGGCTGCGATTAAGGAGACTGAGACATTCCAGCTGGCAACACAACGTTTCGAGGAGCTGTGTAATTCCTCTGCAGAAGGGCTTTAGTGAGGATCTCTTATGTTCTCCACATCTTGGATGTTTCTTCCCTTCTCCCACACCCCTGGATATCCAATCCCCTCTAACACCTTCTGCCATTTGAGCTACAAGAGAAGTTAATGGTACACTTCCAGACTTCTCAGTGTCTACAAGGTCACACTCTGCCATCAGAAAAGCTGCTCAGTATCTATTTTTCCCCTCCCTTTCTTTATTGGAATTCTGCAGAGCCCCTATTTTGCTTCCAATAAAGCAAGTAAATTCAATTATTTTGTGATGTTCTCATCTGAGCAGGCACCTACAAGGTTAACTGGAATAAAACATCTGCTTTACACGATGCTAAACCAGAGTCTTTCCTGACTGAAGATCACGTGTGCTGTAAAGTAATACTGAGAAAGGCCACAACTTCCCGAGGTAAGGAAAGTAGCTACAAGGACAGCAAGATCCAAGTATGTCAAGGAGAGCCAAAATTAAGTTTTCAAGGGATCTTTACTTTCAATAAGCCATTATTTCAAAAAAGAGCAGATGAACTCAAATTAGAGATCCTGAGGGTACAGAATCTGATGGTTGTTTTTCTGGCAAAATTATCGATCTGTGACAAGATTAAAATGAAGTATCTAATTAATCCTGGAAGCCAGCAACACAAATTTCTCCCCCCAAAATTTTCCACACAATCACTGACAGTGGAACAATCCAACCTCTAGTTCTAGAATGTTTCAGTAAATAGAGACATCAAAATAACCGAATACATTGCAAGTTCTTGGTTTTGCTATAGCAGACCACAGCTATATTAACACTCCATTTAGGATAATTGTGATATACAGCACACACTGCTTAACAGATCAGGTTTATCATTTGATAGCAGCCTGAAGTAAAATAAAAAACAACCCACAGTAAAAACAAAGAGGAAGCAGAACAAGCAATACAAGTATTTAGCTCAGCATTTTTAGTAACAACAACCCATATTTTGAAGCCTGGTAAAGATTAGACAATTCTTGTCCAAGTCACTGAGTCCTTGTCAAAAAGTTTCCACTAGCACACTTTTTAAGACCCTGGAGAGGTCTACAATGAGAAACCTTTTTTTTTTTTTTTTAACTTCTACTCAGAAGGGCCCCACCATATTTCAGCCCTAATCACTTTAAGACTCACATGTAGAACAGCTTAATTTCCAGGTCATTGATCTCCAATGCACTGTTCAGGCAGTACTGTCAATAAGTAAAGTCATCATGTACTCAAGAAAGAGTAGGAAAAATAAAATAATTGCTCAAGAGAAATTCAAGTCTAAAAACATAAGGGAAATAATAGCAAGACATAAGAGTCCCATATCAACAGCCAACATAAGCAGCTTAAAGGACAACTTTCATTCAGCATATTTGCTTTAGGGCTGCCAGAGCTTGCAGAGTCTATTTTAAACAAAGCCTAATGGGGTGGACCTGCAGGACACTAAGGCAAAAGATACACAATGACAGGCAAACAGCACTTAGTTTTCAGGGTTATTTGTGAAAAGGGGCAGAGGTACAATGCCAAAGTCAGCCAGCAGTGAGGTGACCACTGCTGAAAACACCCACAGCAACACAAGTGTCCTCACACCTTTCTCCACTTCGAGTGAAGTATCGCTGTGTTGTCAGGTAAGTTATGGAGACAAGTCACCTCGGGTATCATCAGGTAACAAACACAGAACTAAAGAGTGGAAGTTTGGAGGCAGGACTGGGTTGCCCAGCAGGCTGTACCCACTCACCACCAACTGAGGAAAAGCAAACACTTCGCTGTCAGCAACCTCACAGGGATTTCTGTTTGGTTTTCATTTTGACAACGGAAACTTAGGATCAAGCTGAGGGAGTAAGACCTCATCCTAACAAAAAGCCCTGGATTAATTAAAGCAGGCCATGTAAGATGTACAGATTGCTTTTAAGAGAGCTTTCTTCTCACAGGATACCATGAATTAAAGTTTTAGTGTATTTTGGACAGAGTATCAACTACTGCTCAGAAAACCCTCTTTTAGTGATTTACTTTTCAATACAAAACACCTTAAAATTAAGCTGATGTGAACTATTTTAGGAGTCCTGATACTTGGTCCATGTCAGTTATGCTAAATGCCAGAAATTACTAAAGAAAAACCTCCCAGTATTAATTCCATTATTCAGTAGAGATTTTTGTTTGCCACACAAGGAGAGAGAGGGGGGGAAACCCCAAACACAAACCAAGACATCTTAACCACAAATGTAAGTACAAAATTAAGAATTTTGTTGGGTTAGCAGATTGTGAGCACCCATCAGATACGTTACTCCATACTTCTGAAAATAAATGTATTTTTGTGTTTATTATAGCAATAAGGGGGGGAAGACACCTAGCACCCACAGTTTAATTTCTACAATATAAAATGAAATCACAATGACTTCTCACATTTTTATCACCACTACCCTTGTGCTACTGAGCAATCTAAGTTTAGCTAAATATCAGTGTAATGTTCTACAGGAACCCTTATCTTGTGTCACATACTCACTGCTGATGACCTTAACAGGTAGCTTTTGGGGTGATTTCAGGGCAAAGCTTTAAACATTGTTATTGACACATCTTAAGACTTCCTCCAGGAGAACCTTTGCTCACCTTTTAACACAAGTTGGATTACAGTCATTCTAATTTACAGGTTGAAAAATCTCCAACTGTTTCAACAATATATTGTTTTAATCTGAACACAGATATCCACTATTCCCAGAACATTCGCTTCTAAGTCAGCTTAGGAATCAAAGGAATAACTGAGGGGAGGGGATGCTCTTAGGATGCTGTAAAATACTTCAGGTTTTGGTAGAATTTATACCCTGTGTCGTATCTTGTAGAAGGAAATCACAGTGTGATGCAAAGCTGAGATTGCACAGCTCAGCACACACCACTGCCTAAAGCATCCCCACCACGGAACTATCCCACATCGGATGCAGTTAACATCTTGCAACCTGTCAAAATCGTTCATACAGCAAAGAAAGCTGTGCTTTTAAGTAAATACTGAAGATCTGAGTACATGCTACAAAAGTACCAAGAATGAAAAGCCATGAACTGCTGAGACACTCCACGGGTTGATTTCTGCAGAGGCTTCACAGATTCAACAGAAGACCGAGACAAGTCTATTCACAGATGCATTTACTCACCATCAGAAATGATTTATATTGTTTCTCTTCAAAGGCCAGATTTAAGGCTTGCACTGACCAGCACATCTGTAACAACAGTTCTGACCTGGGATGTGGGACGTGGTACCTACAGCCCACAGACAGCAGCATCTGCCCCCAACCATCAGCCGGAGTGACACAGACCCAGCTGCTGCTCTGAGTTGTTCCACTGACACGTCCCTGACAGGCAGAGTGGGAGCAGAGGCACAAAAGCTCTGAACACAGGACTTTATACTGGAGAGAAGAGGGGATGTTTCTGCACAAAAACCTAATGCAGATCCTTGTTACAGATGGCTGCTTCTGTGCAGCCAGTTTTAACAGCAACAAACTAATATGATTTATGACTGCAACACCATAAAAACTCGCACAACACAAAACAGTGACTTTAAGATCCTCTCTCTCATACCTGAATCTTCGACGTTTTCTTGAATTGACAATGTACAGTTGGTAAAGGACACCAGAACCTAAGTGATGTAATTACTTCTATTTTTGCAGTAATACAATCTTTATATCAACATACCCAACAGTTCTTTACAGCTACTGCAAAAGTCTCGAAAAAAAAAAAAAAAGCTTTCATCAAGAAGTGTTAAAACCTAAAAAAGACAGATAATCACCTTCTGAGCAAGGAAAAAGCCAGAAACAAACGCAAAGGCAAAGTGCTTTTGAAGTACCAAAATTATAATACATCTAGGGATTTTTCTACATTTCATCAAACAGAGAAAATCTTTACTACTGACATCAATTTAGTGTGAATCCATAACTAAAACAGGAGACAGGAAAAGCAGAGCAGTAGCCCAAGGTCATATACCATGTCAGCTGCACAGAAGCAGAGAACCCAGATCTATCCCACACTCCATCAGACTACAGTCTCCTCTTAATTAGATAGGAAAATTAACCATACTGAAAAAAGCAACTGAATTCAGCTACTAATCAAGTTTTCCAAGAGGATTCAGCAGTGTATGTTCTATGACCTCTGTCAGCCTGGTCTCATACTTACTCAGATTCAGCAATAAAAGCTTAGAGTTTGGTGAATTTGATTTTTCACTTACTTGCTTAAAATAAAAACAAATAATGTACCTTGGCACGAAAGGCTAACAAACTTCTATGGTGTCATTTGCCTCATGAGATGACAGCAACACTGCTGACTTTTCAGGAACAAAAATACATCCCCATCTCACCCTCTGGGAGTGGAAAAGGGCAAAGAGGAGGGGGGAAAAAAGCCTTTGAATGACCGTTTATTCAATTTTCTATAACCAGCCTGATTTCCTCTGCAGGAAACAGAACAGTGAGTAAAGCACATCTGTCTCCATGGTCAAGATTGATGTCACCAGTCATTGCTCAGCTGGTAATGGTGTATTGCAGACCAAAACCAGAGCCCTTTGAGAAGTGTCTCTGGGGGGAGAGCGGGTCACCAGCACAGCACAAACTGCAGCACCACACCAGGGCAACCTTCCCCCATCAAACACAACTGCCTCAGAGCACATTCTCCTCTGCCCATCCTAATTAGTTTGCCCTCAGCTAAAGAGTCACCACAAATTTCCACTCCCCCCAAGAGCTGCAGCATTTATTTTTTTTTTTAAAGTAGTTAATTACAACTCCAGGGCAAAGTCTACTGTAAACTTTTACTCCTACCCAAACAATTTAATATTCTGAACACTTCTGTTTCTGTTGTCCAGCTCCCCCAAGACATACAGACTTCATCTTCTTCCTATACTTAGCCTTGGCTCAGTTTTCCAGCGAGCACATGCCCATTACACATAATGCAGAAAGACCGATTTTAAAAAAAAAAAGTTTAAAATGTTCTTGTCTTTTTAATCCTGTATGCAAAGGAAGATGTCCATTTAATGACTTGACTATCCAAAGGTCAGTTACCAAATTTGGTCAACTATGGTGCCATCACAGCCGTCATCATTCTTGTCACTGTCAAAAGCAACAACTGTCACCTTGCTATTATCAGGAAGGGAAGGCAACTGGAATATTCGCCACGGAGGTTCTATTTACAGTCTGCATTGCATCCAAAAATGTCTTCCAATGATTATACATTGAGCCTGATAACGATTAACCCAAAGCCAAGAAGAATGTCCAGTTAAACACTTACTTACTCAAGGTTAGTTTTCAAAGCCAACAAAAGCATTGGGAAATCCCACCTCAAATAACCAAACCGGGTTGAATGAAAAGCACTTTTTAACATACCTGTCTAGTGTAGTTACGTGCTTATGACTCATGCAATGAAAGACTCTCCTGAAATTTTGTTTCCTACAGAAACCCCATCGCAAAGAACAAATTTAAGAGACAGCAATTTACTTTGCATCTCATAATTCTACCTTTTGAGAAAGAATAATTTTCTCTGTATGCATTGGAACATGTCATTCTGAGATACAGAAGCCTATGAAATTAAAAAGAATAAATCATACTTACAAAAGATATGCAAGCAGCCAGCAACAAAATTCTAACTAGTAAGTCTTCAAATTGCTCAATCACAAGCTCGAGTAAGGTTTTTCCTGCAATATATAACAAAGCCATTTAGTCATGCACCTTATAAAAAACGATGAATTACCAATAAGAATTAGGAGAAGATTTCACAAACATGCTCACCTTCCTCAGCCGGCAGCTCTGTCCGTGGAAGGTTTTTCCAGGAAGCATGTCAGAGGAAAGAAATCATTGAAGAAACACGTTAGAGCGTTACAAGGCATCCACCAGGTAGTGTCCTGAATTACACACTCAGCTGGGCTGGATTTGACAGACACACTGAAAGCCACATTAAGGTGGCTCTTTTCACCACAGTACGTGAACGGGCCGAGAGTTTTGCGTTTTAAGACACAAAGGTTCGCCGGAATGTGCCAAGGGTTATAATTCAGCCAAGTCATCACTCCAGCCAGCTGTGGGGCTTGTGCTGTTGCTGCACACAAAGGGTCAAAGGCTCAAAATGCTTTTCAAACGCTTTCTGACAAAGCTGTTCCTCCACATTCACTTAGAAAAAACACCCCAAACCATCGAACTTGTTTCAAAATGTTTCAAATTCTTTCCTCCATTTTAAGGGTATTCCCTTATTTCTGCTCTCCTCTTTATTTCCCCGCAACAAGATTTAGTAATCCAAGAGGCATAAAAGCAGCGTTAAAGCTAAAATAAACACCTTCACCGTATAATCTTCTCACAGATTTTTAATTTTACACAACGGCACGGGAGTTCAGAAGGGACTAGGACGGCCAAGCAGTAAGGATTAAAAAAAAAGAAACACCTTATTGGCTGAATTCTATGTCCCGACTGGAGAGAAGAATATAAAATAAGGGGTAGAAAAGCGCTGAAAAGCGAGGAAAAATGAAGGTCAAGACGGACAAAAAAAATATAAAAATACTAAACCCCAAGGGGCGTCAATTCAGAATGGAAGGAGGTCTCCCACCGTTAAGGTGAAAGGGATCGGAGGTGACATCCTCCACCCCAGAGCAGCCCTGCGAGCTCGGGATTGAAAGAAACCCACGAGGTGGAGTTCAAGTCAGCCATCTTCTCTCCCTCGCTCCTATTCCGGGTCCTGGAAGAGATGCCGGCTTTGCCAGTGCACACGCGTTAGGCCTCGCACAGGGCCCCGGGAAGGATGGGGGAGAGGAGAGAGGGGTGGGAGAGGGAGCCGAGCGGGGAGAGGGCGAGGCCGGCGGCAGCATCCCGGCGGCGGGGCCGCCTCACCTACCGTTGGAGCCCCATTTCTCCTTCAGCTTCTTGACTTGCTCGAGGCTGAGCCCGGTGCTCTCGTTGACGCCGAAATAAGCCAAAACTTCCTCCACAGTCTTTGTGTGCGCGTTCTCCATGGCCGGGGCAGGGAGCAGCAAATGGTGCCGTGCCTCGCCTCTTCCTCCTCCCTCTCCTCCTCCTCCTCCTCAGCGGCGGCGGGCGCGGCGGCGAGACCCCTGCTCAGCCCTCACCACCCCCGTGCTACCACCATAGACCCTCACACGACAGAGCAGCCCGAGCCCACCTCACTCCTCACGGCGGCGGCCGGGAGGGGCAGGGGAAAAATGAAAAAAAAAAAAAAAAAAGGAGAAAAAAGGGAAAGCCGCTAAAAAAAAAAAAAAAAAAAACCCCCCCCCCCCCCCCCCCCCACCCGCCTCCGAGGGAGCCGAGCCGCCTCTCCGGCGGGGACCAGGGGCTTCGGCCGGGGGGGGAGCCGCGGGCCCCCGGAGCCGCTGTCGCGTCGGGGGCGCGGCGGGTCCCTGCAGGGACGGGCCGCGTCCAGGTGGCCGAGCGGCCTCTCCGCTCGCCTTCAGCGGCCCCGAGCCGCCCCCGGCAACGGGAGGGCGATAACGGCGCGGCGCGGGGGGGTGGGGAAGAACAAGGCGCAGCCGCCCCGCTGCCCACGAAGGGTTGGAATCACGCCCTCCCTTCTCTAGCGGCCCGATGCTCCCCCTGGCCGGCCCAGGCCGCTGGTCGCCGTCACGGTTGGGGCTCCCCCGCGCCCGCCGCTGCCTCCGCTCGCTCCGGGCGCGCAGCGGCGGCGGCCGCTCTAATGTAACTCGGGGGCCGCCCGGGCCGCGCTCGCCGCCGCGGCATGTGGACGCCGCTCATTGGCGGGGCCGCGGCGCGGGGCGGGGCCAGCGCTCAGCCCCGCCCCTCCGCGCTGAGGCGATGGCGGTGGCGCGGCCGCTGCGCAGCGCGGGTCGTTTCCTTGCCCGTTCTCCCTCACGGCGCTCGGCTCCTCATGCGGCGGCGGCCGCGCTTCCGCTGCGCACCGGGACAGCCCCTCAGGTGCGGCGGCCGCCTTCCCGCCCTCGCTGCCCCCGCGTGAACCGCCCTCTTGTGCCGGCCTCAACCCGCGCCCGAAGGGGAGCGGGGCTGCCCCCTGAGGGGGAGCTGCTGCCGAGCTGTCGCGATAGGCGTCGCGGCGGTGCTGGCGCGGGGCTGCACCGGCGCGTGTCGTGACAGGAGCGCCAGCCGTCCTGTGAGGGCTGCCCTCAGCCCTGTCGTCATACGAGCTTCATCCAGGCAAAGCGTGAGCGTGGGGTTGCCCACACCTCAGTCGTAACAGAGACATCATTCGTTCAAAGGGTGAGTGTGGGGTTGCCCCCACCTCGGTCGTGACAGAAGCACCATCCAGGCAAAGGAGGTGTGTGGGGCTGGCTCAGTCTGTCGCGACAGGAGCATCATCCGGTCAGGACTGTTAGTGTGGTGTCGGCCCCTAACTCAGTCGTGACAGGAGCATCATGCAGTCAGTGTGTGTGAGTACAGGCTGCCCAGCAGGGCGTGGGTTCTCTCTCTCTGAAGACACCCCAAACCCACATGGACACGTTCCTGTGCCACCTGCTCCCGGTGACCCTGCCTTGGCAGGGGTTGGACTGGATGATCTCCACAGGTCCCTTCCAACCCCAGCGACTACAGTGATTCTGTAGGGCTGCACCAACTGCTGTCGTGACAGGAGCCTCACCCATCACGAGTGCGCAGAGGTGAGGGCCGTGTCCCCGCGTGTCCTCTTCCCCAGAGGTCCTGCCCTGCGCTGGCACCGAGCAGTGTCCTTTGCACAGCTCCCCCCGTTCCCGTCGCACACATCCCAGTGACAGCACACTCAGCCCCGGCTCGCGCGGCGATAACGTGAGGAGGAATGAGCTGCAGGGTGTGATTTCAGCGCCGTGTGTGGGGTGAGATCCCAGCTTTCCTCAGCGCCGTATCTCGGCGCCGATACAGAACACAGAAAACTGCCTCATCCAGCCATCCCACCCGGCAATTCACAGACACTTCAATGAACACAAAACAGAGAAATCAGCGCCAACTGACATTAATACACCTGCAACACGCACACAACACAGCAAGTAATTCAGCACACAGTGTAAACACCTTCCCTTTAAAACTTGGTGCCAAGAGATATTCTTGTATATATATGCATGTGCAAGTACAAAAGCTGATCCCTACATGTGTCCTGGCTTACATAAATGCAGATCCTACATACAATCTGCATTTCCATCACTTATAAACCACCCACGGCACCACGATATAAGAAACTGTATGTCTGATCCGGAATGAAATATCTTAGTTCTGTCTCTGTGTTAGCAAAAGAAGGATGGAGAGGGGACACCCCATATAAAATTGTGATGTTCTAAGGTATATGTAGCCCTATGCCCTTTCTAACAAAAGTACAACTGCTCTAAAAGACTCCTCTGTGGCTGGCCAAGGTCCAGGTAAGGAGGACTTGACAGCCTACACTTCACAGGACAGCTCTGAATGAAAATTCGTGAGTTAGATCTGATGACCTAGTTCAGGTAAGGCAATTACTTATTCCATGCCATGCCCATATTAATTTTATCTTGCTTATCAGCAGGATTAATCAGCATGGCCAAATGTTGCCTCAGTACAGTTATGTTCCTTTTCATACCACAACCTCACACTGCACCTAGACATAGACATAGCCTGTTATAGAGGTAAAGAATGTCAGAGTGGCAGTTGTATATAGTTCATATAGTTTACTGTATGTTTCTTAACCAGTTGTAATGGTTTTCTTGATAGTGTATGAGCACATGATCCCATCATGCCCAAACCAAAACCAAAGTCACAAGGTGCACATGCATCCGAAATTAAACCAATATATCTTTGAAAATATGCACTCAGTGCCAACAAAACTCCTGATAAATGCCTATCACAGGCCTACCTAACACACACCTAAGTTTTTAGTGTCCTCTAACACACAACTATGTACATATGCAACATTAAAAAGTATATAATTTCCAAAATGATTATATACAGGATAACACCCGCGACTTGAATTAATGTATTTCACTGATTACCAGCACAGTATATCTATGTGAGTAGTTTCTTCCCTTCTACCAAGTTAATATAACCTGCATTATATGTAGTTTTTTGTAAAAATACATTTACCACAGCAGTATTTTTACACACAAGCATGTTTACTACCCTTCATATACAAGAGCACCTGCAAAGGACTTGAAACTCCTGCCTTTCATTTTCTTACTATTTTTAAGTATTGCAATCAAACATCAGTAGCACTTCGCAAAACAAAATTATATTAGAAAGAATCCCAGATTGCGTTTCATATTATTTCTCCCTGTGATATACTTCTTATGTCATTCTTGGTTTCCTTTCTGTGCCTGTTTCCAAAAAGGCTCATGGAAAAATATTTTAAGCATACCAGAGCCATGGCATGTGCAATTAGGGCTTGGCAGAGTGTACGATAAAGTAGATATGGTGTTCTTTCAGTCTAACTTGTTAGCAGGAGGAAATGCTGCTGGGAAGGCAAAGAGAGCTTGCATTCTAGTGAATCCTGGAGAACTCTTGGTATTCTCTGGGATCCACTAGTTCAGCCACAGTTTGTAAACTCCACTTTCATTGTTTCTCTCTCATGCATTAATATTAGATGACTTCATTCTTCTCCTTTTTTTCCATTTTGAGCATAGACCCAACATAAAATCTGGAAAGATTCTGGACAGTTCTCTGCCTGTGTTTATTTCTGTCATGTGTTGTGTTATGGTTCAGGGAATTTTGAGAGAAGAATGACTGAATTAAGGACCGTTCTACAATTCTTTCTCCCCCAGAGCAGAATAACCTCTGCATTTCCTCCACAGTTCTTTCCCTGTCTTTCCCCAGATGTGCAAGACTGATCCTGCTGACCAATGAGGATTTCTTTGCAGGTGACACCTTCCAAATCTTCTGGCAGCTACACTTTTGAAGAACATTTGCAGATACAGTGCTTGGTCTAGACAGAACAGTGCAGAATGTGCTACAAATACCCATGTAGACACTGCCGCAGAAGCAGTACCTGCTAAATTTGGCATCACTTGATATCATACAAATTTAGAATTGTGAGTTGAAATCAGTGTTGTTTCCCATCGCTCTGCAAGGATTCATGAAGCTTCTGATGCCATTTGCCTTGTCTCTTAAAGAAGGTGGTTATCTTGACCCAAATCAGAGTGACAGCACCTCAGCTCTGCCTTAAGCACCGAGCCCGTGAAAGCTCCAGGTGATACATACTCCCAGCAGGTGCAGGCAGCTTTGCATTCTCCCTTTTTAAGGAAGGAAAATCGATTCATTTTGCTGCTGTGAAGTTGCAGTTTGTTTTTAGACTGGAACCCCTCAGAGTGGTACCTCAGAAAGCAACACAACAAAATGGGGCAGCTTTGGCCTTGATGAAATTCCATTCACATAATGGAAGGATATATCCTTACATTTGGCCTACTGTCTTTTTTCACTGTAATATATTAAGAAAAAGCAGCCAACACATCAGGCAGCAGCATTAAAACAGTTCCTGTAATGCTTACTAATTGAAGTAAATGGGAATTTGGCCTGAGAGAAGACTGCAGGATGCTTTCCTTCAAATTGCAATAACATTAAGTCATCCCTATTGCTGCAAAGCAGATTCACAGCAGAGTTACTGGTCATAATGTGAATTGTCTCTTGCTGTACACAAAAACATACGTTTTGTAGCTCAATTTTCAAACCAGATTAATAGTTTTGAGTGGAGCTAAACACAGCACAGAAGGGCACTACACAAAATGCCAGTTGTTGAGCCAATACACTTGAATGCTGACCTGCAGTAGCCTTATTATTTCAGGCCTGGATCTCTTTCAGTGGACATAGACAAAGTGATCATCTTGTGCTTAATTGTGCCAAATTATGTCATGATTTTTGCAGCCTGGCTAATTGCCTGATGGGGCTTAGGCTGAGACCACCAAACTCATTGCTCATCTCCCTAGCTGATTTCAAACCCAAGTCTTCATGAGTGACAAATGGGGGCATTGTTTCTTCCTCCCACTGTACTATTTTATTCCTCTGAAATTACAGTTATTAAAATGTTTCAGCCAGTTGAAATCTACTAAGGCACATTAAAATGCTGCAAAAATGCTGTATCAAAGTGGAAAGGTTTTAAATCTGCAGTTCTGTCATAGGATAATGCAGTTTAAATATAGTAACTGTTTTTTCCAGTCAGCTTGCTCTTTGATTTCACGGTATTATGTCAAGGGGTTTTTTTTCCTCTCTCCCCCTTTAAGAAGCTTATAGCTTAAACAGCAAAATGCAAAAAGATCCTGACATGAAACAATTACACAAACCCAGCAGAGAAATCAGT